TGTGTGTGTGTGTGTGTGTGTGTAGCTATATATATTTAAGTGTATGCATGTATATGAGTCTACAGAATCCTTTCATATTTGATGAAAGCAGTAATTATAATTGAAAGTTATCACCAAAAAATCCATACTCATGGCTTGAAAATGTTTCTCATGAGTCAGGCTGACTTACCTGATAAGCTGAAATTGGATTGGTGGAGGTTTCTGATAGGTGGGGGTTGATTTTTGGCAGGGGAGGATTTAGTTGAGGGTGCAGGAGTTGCATATTTTGGCGTAGCTGGGATTTCATACACAGGCCCATCGTACATTCCTCTGGACACTCCTTGCAGTCCTCCCACCTAGATCAGGAGGCAAGTAAAAATGCAGACACTGAATGCTCTGGTAATGCTGCCTAATGATACTCTTGCCTGTATGCAGAGAGCACTGAGCACAGAGCTGTACTCTGCATAGGCTGAATTAAAAGCACATCTGTACTTCAGACATAAAGCAAAGCTCCCTCCATTTTTAAATATATATAAAATTATGATAAGATCCTTATCAGGCTTCCTTCACAATCCATGGGGAGAAATGGGACTCAAAAGAATAACAGGTCTGACCAAAGATGTTTATTTTAAGTAAGATCAGTCACAGTCACATCTTCTCTCTCCATTCAGTTGCCAAATCAAACTTGGGTTGTTGCAAGACTGTACCAACTGCAGCAATTTCCCTCCTACCTGTATTCCCTCTGCTCCTCCCCTTAGGAGGTCTCATTCTTTTTATAAGAGCTCATTGAAAAGTGGTGGCAATTTTAAAATTAAATTTCAAAAATTTCTATTTCTTGTCATCACCTAGAAAAGTGATTATATGCTAGACTGTGGCATGGGACCCATCTTACAATACCTGTCAATAAATTCTCTGTCACTTGAGCTCTGATATCAGTTGGAGATCTCTATAGTTTTTCCCTGTACAATCCTTACAAGGAATATGAGAAAAGACAATCAACAGAACTTCACTGGCCTTTAAGGTCTAGGAATCTAGGAAATAATATTTCAATGAGAACAGTTCCAATTTTCAGAGAGAGCCTGAAGCCCTTGAGTTGCAGAATCCAAAGCTCATCAAAAAGATCAGAAATTTGTGGCTTACAAGATTATGGTTTCAGAGGCATTTCCCCAACAGGTTAAGAGTGAAATTAAAATACCGTAGAGAAGGACACTATTCACAGGGTTCAGTCCAGCTCTTAACAGAAATCAATGCACTCCCCTTGCTCTTGGTGATGGGACATCAGGCTCAGAAGAGCCACCGTCTTCAAGGCTGAGTCAAAACTAATGCACAGAGAAGAGAGCAGCTGCTGATCACAGCAATTAATCCATCTTCCAGGGACCCACACTGGCACGAACTCATCCTGCTATCCCTGCTCCAAGGATAAACTGATACTGCTACCCTGTGCCAGTTCAGCTTTGACTCCTCTGTCAGGCACTGACACGTTCATACGACCATCATTTGGGGTTTTTAAATATTTCTAACTGATAAAATTGGATAGTGGGAAAAGGACATGGATCGACTCCCCCTTCCCCTTGGCAGGCAGCAGAGGGAGCTGCAGGAGCAAAAGTGTCAGTGCCTTTCTTTGTTTGCACACACTGCCCAAGTATCAAAGATCTCAAAAGTATCAAAGCCAGGTTGGATGAGGCCTTGAGCAACCTGCTCTGGTGGGAGATGTCCCTGCCCAGGGCAGGGGGTTGCGACTAGATGATCTGTAAGGTCCATTCCAACCCCTAGGATTCTATCATCTCCCAAAATCCAGGCCCACTTGCAAGACTCAGGTAACTTGGCTCAGTTACATTTGTACAAACTCCTGCTACAAGATGCTACTCTCTGATACTTTATGTCAAAGTGCTGCTTTCAGGGTTTGAATGCCACACCACTAATTTATATAGCACTCCCAACTAAACACTTGAGCAGTGAGTGTGAAGAGAAGGTCCATGTCATCTATGTGGATAATGTACAAACAATGCAATACTTCGCAAAACTTTTGCAGATGCAATTTGCTTTTTACTGTCTTTTCTCGTAAGAAGTGCAGACAGAATTTGTGTAATAAATGTTGAAAGATAAAAACTATCAACCTGCTCCTAGACTTCATTTCAGCTGCCACACTCCCAGACTGTCTCATTACCTGTCCTCACACAGCAACTTTCTTGCTCAGTGGCAAGAAGCAATTTCCAAATAACCCTAAACTAGTGTGCAGCCAATTGGTTTTAAACAGAGCAGAACTGATATAACTCAACCAGAACTGACACAGTCTTAATCATGGTTAGTTCCCAAGCTTTTTATTAAACAAAAGGTTTCTGAGCCATGAATGCTGCTAATTCTCAGCTCAGCAAATGCACTACCAACAGTTCAGAGATGCCCAATATAATGAGCATCCCTGGCCTACATGCTTTTCTTCTCTGCAGCGTGGCAGTTCAGCATACAATTTAAAATTCTGTTTTTATTCTGCCTAACTCTCCTCCCAGAGAAGCTTTATCTTTCCCTGAATTTTAAGTGAAAGTAAATTCCTAGCTGAAAGTAAACATTATTCCATCTCCCTTCAAGAGCCTGCACAGCTGGACGTAAGAAAATTATACCCAACTGGCAATTATATGCTCTACCCACTGAAGCTTAGTGTTAATTGAGTTAGATCCACTTGCAGAGGAACTAGTTTTGTGGTCATTTTTTGAACAAGGCATATAGAGGCCATCTGATACACACTCATAATAGCACAATAACATTAGAAACTACTGTGGATCCAAGAGGGTGTGGCTAGAAAGAAGATCAAATAGTATCTGACATTACCTTATTCCTGATTTTGATGCGCTGGTAAAGATACTCAGGGAAAGGTTTGCGAGGGATGAAACGTCCCATTCCCTTATTTACATGCAGATTTCCATCTTCAAACACAATCTTCCCTTGGCTTATGACCACAAGTGGGGCACCATGGCACTCCATTCCTTCAAAGATGTTGTACTCAATGGCCTGAGGATCAACCAACATAGTCACTGCAAGATCTCTTTCGGTTAGTAATTCATAATCTGTATTTGCAGCCATAGTTTTAGACAACTGCCATTAAAAAGTGTATGAAATTGTTTCATCTGAAGGAAAATCAATGCATTTTGATAGGAAATTATTTTACAGGATCTCTATGATCAGACTTTCCTAGATCAGACTCTTCCTTTCTATTTCTCAGGCTTTCTCTCACTTGTTTTAGAAGACTTGCCATATTTATCCAGAGCCTCTAGAAGTGTGATAGCTTTAATGAGCAGGAAAATTGTGACTCAGCTGCTGGGTAGCCAGAGGACATGGTCCCACCACACATCTGCTGTGACTGGGTAAGCAAATATCAGAGGGGCCAGCACACATATTTCTATCTGAGAAAGCCCAGAAAGGACCAGGAAAGCCTGAATCCAAATGGGAGTGACAAGGCACGTGATTATTACTTTCTTGAAAATACAAAGAGTTCCCAGGACAAAGAAATAGAAAATGAATCACCTAAATTTATTTTTTAAAGGTTTCTAAATGTTTTTGCCTTTTTAATATAAAATGCATTACAGGATTTCCAGTAAAACTTTTGGAAGGATTCCCCACTATAAAAGAACAAAGCACTGAGCAATAAGATAAGAACTATGAGATAGATAATGTGTAAGACAAAACCTGTCACAGTCAAAATCAAAGTGACTATCACTCACAGGTACTCTGCAATAAGGGCAGAGAAATACATGACAAAGTTCTGGAATTAAATAGCAAATTCCATCCATGGAGCTGACTAGAGGTGTATTATCAAAACATTTCATCATCTCTCACAGTTTAGAATATTGTTGATTGAATCAGGCAATGTATAATATCAGGTAAGGAAAAAATATGAGCTGGTTTAAAATTTATCCTCACAGCCTTACTAAGCTCAGATGAAGAGCTGCTGGTTCTCACCCACTTACAGATCTGCCAAAAGCAGCAAAAATAAACAGTGCAATGGTATGTGCTGAGAGAAAAGAAATCCTTCCTGATCCCAAAGCCTCCAGTGCAGTGTTTCAGTGCTTTCATGTCCTGACACATTTACCCATTTCAGACTAGGAGTAGGCAGTTTCCCCACTCCTCTGTATCTGTTCATTTGGTGTTCACACGAATTAGACCAACAGCTGAAAGCAACACTGACATTTCTTTTTTCTTGGTTTTCCCTTTCTCCTTACCGATTTATGGCTTTTGGCTGTTATAGTCTTCACCTTATCAGGGTCCCAAATAACAACGTCAGCATCTGATCCTACAGCAATCCGGCCTTTCCTTGGATATAGATTAAAGATTTTGGCAGCATTGGTGCTGGTGACAGCTACAAACTGGCTCTCGTCCATCTTGCCTGTGGCCTAAAAATAATATGATTTGAGCAAAACGTGCTAACAAAGTGGAGATTTACTACTGAGAGGACTGAATGGTCGGGGAGATATTGCAAAGCATGTACTTCATAGATAAGGTGATGTCACATGAAACAGATTTTATCACACAGGACTTTATACAAGGCACATTACTTGGGAGTTTCAAGTAAATGAATGAGTTACTCCTGGCACCCCAAAGAACAGCCAATGAAACCTTAATGCAGATGACACCACCAAGGTGCTCAGTCACCTAAGGTTCCTTTCTCCACACACTGATGCCAAAGTGTGTTTTGTTGCTCGTCCTAGTAATTTCCAGGTAAATGTTTAAACTATTTTAAAACAGAGAAACTTATATGAGTATTATGAGATTAAACAAAGATTGAGATTCTAACACTTGTAGAAATACTTAGTGCAATTCAAGTCCATTCCATTGTTAGTATTTCCAAACCTATACACCTAAGTAATACAGTGCCAGTTATAAAGTCCTAAGCTGGAGAAAGTCACCAGTAACTGAACTTTGTAAACAGTCAGTGACGGTAACAGCAACTGTACACAACAGCATTTTGATTTCTCAGTACAGTACTCTGGGGTCTTCCCTGGCGATGAGCAGTAACAATGGTCTAAGGAAGAACAGCAGTGCCTAGCTTCTTAGTATTAAATAAACACTTCTTTCCTGTCTGGTAAAACATGAGATTTGCAAAATATAAGCTCTTGGGTGGTGCAGGACTGATTGTTACCACTTGTAAATCCCATGTTGCAGCCCTTGCTGCAACTCCTTCCCCCTGAGGGAGTAACATATGAGTAGTTTCACTGGCTGGCTGCACTTTGCTTGCTTCCCTGCTTTGCTCCTACTTACATGGCAGGTTTCTGAAGCTGCTTTGTGCTTGGAATCTCAATGGCAGGTCGTGAAGAAAGTGGTTATGAAACACAGTCTGGGGGAAGTGCTCAGCAGAGCACTGTAAATACTATCACTTCCCAGCACAATGCACTGTAAGGTAATGAGGCCAGGGGTGTGTGGGTGTGTATGTGGAGACACAATAGAGGGAGAATATCATTATACATCAGGATCCACGGAACCATCAACAAATCACTGACTTACATCAGCAATACTCCACTGCAAAATATGCCAGTATGAATTACATGCAATGTTCTCCTGCAAAGCAGCTCATGGTTTCGCCTCCGGCTCGGCTGCCATCCCTTTGCAATTCCTCAAAGATGATGAGACACTTCCCAAACTCAAACAATCCATTCATCACATTTATATGAGGTCCACTTCAAAACCATTAAACTGCTCCAGATACTACATCTCTCAACAGCATCTGCTCTGACACAACTGGAATATAGAGCAGTGGAGTCTGGGAAGCCTCAGGTCTAATAAAACACAATCGTGGTGCAGTGTCAGAAGTGAAACACATCCCTGAGCTCAAAAAAACTGGAGGAGGATTTTGAAATAAGCAATTTGCCGTGCAGTAGCACTCTCTTGGAATTCCCAGATATGTATCAGAAAGCCACTGACCAAGAGTCTCCTGGATTTCATTATTAACACCCAATACTATTTCTTTAAAGTCCATAAAAGTAAATAATTACTTACTACAGCCTTGTCCCAGACAACAGTCATCCTTTCCTCAATTCCATTGACCCCTTCAGGAATCATGGTGAAGTTGTCCTTTCCAATGGCTTTCTGGGCAGTGCTATATGGGCAGTGTCCACTTCCAGTCACCTGCAGGTCCCCACTGTGGAGTTAGCACACAGAAGGTTTAGACCAGGCACCACCAAGGTGACCTTGGCATCACACAGGCTGTGAATGGACCTTTCACGCCGAAACACCACAGGCACAGGCTGTAAATCATGTCAGCAGCATTTACACGTTGGATCCAGATAACCGAAGAGCAACAATGGCATTGCACATCTCCACTTTCCCCCAGGAGCATCCTGAACTCCCAGATTACAGCCCCCTCCGGTTTCAGGCTGCTTATCGACAGAGATCAGGCAAAAACCCACTACAAGGACAAAGGATTATGTCAGGATTAAGGAAACGATCAGAAGCTTGTATGACATATCTGCCACTCTCCAGATAAATTAATTCAGAACCACACTGAAAAATAATGGCAAATTTTGACAATGCAAAGCCATGAGCATCAAGCTTGTTTCTCTGCACTTCTCTCCTGCACATATATTTGACATGAATACTTCTCATCTGACCTTCCCAAACTGAACCGTGAAAATAAAAAAAGGAAAAGTTTTTTTATCAGGTAGGCTCTAATTAAACAATGAAAGGTACAGTGCAAGTCAAACACATGCTCTGGATTTATCTAACTTAAAGGTTTTATGCAGAAAAAAAGCATAAAGAGCTGCCATGTGATAAAGCTTTTGTTTAAGAAGTTGTCTTTTTCAGCCTAGAGAAGATTTCTTTTTGCAGAGAGCATAACTGGATCACAGCTGCTCTTGGGAATAAGCAGGAAGAACAGGATCAATACATAGAATCTTGCAAAAACTGAAGGACAAAAAAGAAGACAGGGTCTCCAATATCCACAGGAAACAGGTGGTATTTTTAGCTTGTGATGAAGCTTACAGGAGGCAAGCACATTAAAACTCACAATGTTTTCTCTTCCATCGCTCCACAAGGGAGATGTCCCTAAGAGCCCATCATCCCTTTCTTTAACTGATTATATAACTTCCAGCTCTGAAACATCTGAATGATTCTGGCCCACAAATTCAGATCCAGCAAGCTAACAAATAGCTAACAAAGAAAAAAGGGTCACACCTCAGTAATTCTAATGCAATTTCCTGGGCTGCCAGCACTAATGATTGCTGACAGAGAAGAACCTTTGGCCTCTTTTCTGGTTCTTCCCCATGCTCACAGCCATCCAGCTTTTAGCAAAGCCAAACCCATGAATTTAACACAGAAAAGGCAGCTATGTTTTAGCTATTCCTGATGATTAATGACTGCCTGGTGTGACTCCATAGGATTAAACCAAATCCATCAGTTAAACACTCATTTATTCTAATACAACAATACAAGCAGAAGATTGCAATGCCATTCCTTCTTCTGTCAGCTAAGCTATCTGTGGCTTACCCTCTCTCTTTTCTGCACTCTGATGGCTACAACCATGAAAACCTGAATGTCACAGCCAGGCCTTGGATCACTGCCCATTTCCCTGAGGTTATGCTGTGACTCCACCACACACTAATTCCGACACCTCAAAGATAAAACTGACTTGCTTCCTCTGAACTCTGCTTTCCCTCTCCTCTGACATTTAATGACATTTCATGACATGAACTGCACTCCCCAGTCAAATCAATAGAATAAGACTTCAGAAGCTGAAACATGTTGCTCAAGAGATGCCCCACACCTCCTGGTCAACCACATGAGCACTCCTACTGTCTGAATATACTGCAGAGAAGCATCACATCAGCTAAAAAACTGAGACACAAGAAGGGATCACCATCAAATAAATACCAGACCAATATTTTGACATCTTACTCTTCCCCATAAACAAGGCTTGCATGGCAAGTTACATCTTGAAGCACCAAGATCTCACATGTGAGAAGAAAAGATGGTATATCACATCTGCAATAACACACAGCCCACCATGGAAGGTGATACCTCAGATGCATGGCCCACAGGTGAGATAAGGACCAAATCTCACAAGGCAAATCCAATCTGCAGACCCCAGGAAACATGATGGATTTTTAAACTTTCAGCTTTTCAGTGAAAAAACAACACTTTCTGTGGGGCAGAGCAAAGCAGGATGCTGTGTGCTCGCAGAGGAAGGATGTTGCAAGGATTTTTTTTTGATGAATGCAAAATACTTGTATCCAAATGCACAGTGCAACAGAAATGTGAAACGCTGTCTTTACCATTGTCCTTGAATAAAATTCCCCATGAATGCAGGGCAGACTGACAAAATATACAGCTCTTTTTTTAGTTTCGCAGTATAGATTTAAAGTATTAAAACTGAAAGCAGGCTAAGCTGCTGTCATTTAAGATCTAGGACTTTAAGCCACTAGGAAAAAAAACCAACCATTTTTGCATGCTTGGAGGATAATGAAAACTTCTGGACTCCTCAGTTTGTCTTTCTGATGTTAGTTTAAAAAAGCAATTATTTGGATTCCAGTTCTAAAAATTCCCTTGCTATTTTAGCTAATCTGCTTTGACCCACATACTATTATTTTGGGACTCTCTTCTAGGGAATGTACATCCGTGTCTGACAGAGTAAAGAGTCAAACATTTTGATACACATTCACGTGTGCAGGCTAAGAGCCTTACCCTCACACAATGAGGTTCACTCTTTATAGTGACAGATCAGACCAGGAAAGTAATTTTTTTTGCCTTGCTCTTGCTTTAAGGAAAAAAAAGCTCAATTATTGAAAACCATTTCTGCCATCACACTGTCACAACAGTGCTTGACCCACCATAAGGAGGGATGTGCACACACTGCAGCAGTGGCACAGTGGACTGACAGCAGTTTCCCATCACACAGATGTGTCCATCCACCTCTAATCACACATATTAGGGCCTTGTGTTACCAGCCACGCTGGCACTGCTGGCCATAGTGTCTGCCTGTTAGTCATGTGCAGGAAATGTTTGCTGAAACCAACAGGTAACTCTCGGGGTTCAATTTCTACTGCTCCGTTTAGAGCATTGGAAAGCCCAGAAAGGGGAGGCAGGAGGTGAGGTGACTGCCACTGCATGGAGTTAAATAAGGTTTGGAATGGTAAGGTGAGTTCCTCACTCCAGTCCTAGCAAATTGTCCTGGTGGGACTTCAGCTGTGAATTTCTGTACCATTTCAGAGCAGATGGTCTTTTGCTTAAGCTAGAGAAGACCCACAGTTGGCTACAGGCAGGAAATACTTTCAGAGATGGGTTTACAGTCTGGGTTTCTGGCAAGGCACTGCCCATGTCTTCTGTTCTATATAAGACACTTCTCTCTCTGCTGTCCACATTCCTTTCACCTCTCTAGTGAGTCAACCTGAAGACAGCTCATATCACTATCCTGTCAATTAATGGCCTCCAGTCTCCAGCCTGTCTCCACCTGAGTCCCTGACAGAATCCTTAGTAATCCACTCTGGCCACTCTCTCCTGACATATCTTCTCTACATGTACCACTTACTCAGGATCCTGCAGCCTATAAAGAGACAAGGCAAGCTAAAAGTAAAAACAAGGTTGCAAGAACTAAACACAAATCAACATGTATGATTTTAGTCCATCCCAGATGAAGGCAAAGTAGCAAGTGAGAAGTTTCCAATATGCAGGAGCTGAAACCACAGAACTCTGCTACAAACACAAGTTAGTTGAGGACAAGATGATTTTCAGAAGGCCTCACAGCTGACACCCCTACACCAGCTTTGACAAGAACTGCACCAGGAAGGTTTTCTTGGTTCTAGGTGTCTCTGCATTCAGAGACAGGACTGGTACCAGGAGCTGTGACTGGCACTTAAAACTGAGTCTGTTCTAACAGATGGAGATCTGTCCACCAGTGAGGACATCATCCCATCATATATTAACAATTCAGCTGGAAAAAAAGGTCCTGGGCTAAAAAGTATCTAGTTGTACAACCCGGAATCACTTGAAAAGCAAAAAGAAAAAGAATTAATCCCTGAATAGCCAGCAGCTGCCTCTTTGTCAAGCTAACCAGGAGTGTCCATGCCTGCTCACCTCACTGACAGCCTAAACGTAAGGATATAGCTATCCCTGGTTTTCTATATCCCTTCTCTGCTGTTTCATGTATGAGACTGGTCTAAAGGAAACCGGGTTGATCCCTAGATGCCTCATCCCCATGTGGCTTTTGCACTTGTCTGATCATCAACCTGTAAAAAAAAAAAAAAAAAAAGAAGGTCTTACCATGCTAAGAGTGAATTTAAGTGATCTGGAGTGGTAGGATCAGGGCTCAGAGGTGGTGAGGTGACAAAAGCTGCAGCCTTGGCCCAGTTTTTGCTCCAGTAATGTGTCCCATCTGTCCCCAAGCTGGCAGTGATCGGCTCTCCAAAAACAAGGGGACCTTGGAGAAAGCAAAGATATATTGGAACTAATTACAACCCACTCTCTCTTCAGCACATTACACTGCTTGCTGCATGCAGCCATGTATAATTCACACACTGCTACACGGCCTGTGTAGCTCCCAGAAAACTAATCAGCCCTGGCTTTGTCTGTTTGATAAAAAATTTATCAGCAGTCTCTCTGAGCTACACATGCTTTTGATCAGCATATTTACAAACGTCCCTGTCTATCCAGAAGAAGACAGTTCAGACCTGGTTTTAATTTGTACTGGTTTAATCACAGCTATGTTCTCTCTGTTGCTCCAATTCAGACTGCACTGGGTGGTGGATCACTTCAGCAGGCAGATGCCTTTTTACTACTCCCAGGCTGGGCACAGCACAAGCAGATAACAGCATATGGTCCCCAGCACCATACTCCAAGTCTCCAAGAAGACAAATACCAAGGCAATAATTTGCTCTTTGCCTTCTCCATATGGCTCATGCACTTTGTAGTACCAACTAGCAGACCTGACTTGCAAATGCAGCTTCAAAAGCAGTTGCCTTCAGGCTCACAAGTCCCTTTTGGGTGCTTTGGAACCTGGATCCCACCACAGCCCCAGCAAGCAGGGTTGACCCACAGTGCACATCTGAGCAGGTCAACCTCCAGCAGGAAGGCCAGGAGTGAGCTCCAGGCATCTCTAACAGCAAGGTCACTGCCCAACCACCCCTCAGAGGATAACAACCTGAAATACCACCAACAGGCATGGATGATGTGCTAGACTCCACTAGGAATAAAGTATCTCCCTCCCATGAATGGAAAGAGAAACAGCAGCCTAAGCGAAAGTAAAAGGGAAAATAGGATAAAGAAGAGTTACAACACAATCTTCATGGGGACAGTTTGTGGGGAGAGCTTTTCAACTGAAAAATGTAAAAGGATTTCCCTTCATCTTTCCCAGATGTAAACATTTAAAATCTGTGACGGTTTGCTAACCTTCCCTATAGCTTGTCATTCGGGTCAAGATGTACATGCTTTTCCACTCAGCTTCTATTCAACAACAAAAAAAGAGAGTTTCAGGAAGAAAAGGAAGTCCCTTACCTTTCTTTCTGGCCAGTGCAATGATATCAGCTGCACTCTTGCTCATCACCTTGGTGATGTACACTGGGCAGTTTATTCGACTGGCAATAGTGATAGCACGGAAAACAGCTTCAGCTTCAAGCTGAGGGAAACAAGGAGGAAAAACTTAACTGTAAAAGTAGCCTGAAGCAAAAATCAACTGGAGGACTGAGGCATCTTTCTCATTGCTCAGCAACAACTCTTCAGGGGTTGATTCTGCTTTTTCCATAGAGAGTGCTGGGAAATAGGGAGCTGACCCAACCTCAAGCACTTCATGCTAGGAGTAACCACAGCCAGGATGTACTTGCTAGTACAGCTGCCCCAGCACAGACACAGCTCCCTGGCTCCATGCACCCCAGGAAAGGACATGTCCAAGCAGCTGATGTGGTTCCTCCTTCCCTCCCTCCCATCTTTCTGCTTCAGACTCCGACCCTGCAGTTGGAAGGAGAACAAAGCAAGGAAACCTTGCCGCAGCTCAGAGACAACCTCTGAGGTCTCCCTGGCAGCTTACACCCTACACAATCTTTACATAATGATGACAGTGAATGCAAAGGATTCTCAAACAGCAACTTCAGCACTACGGACTGAATTTAGCCCATAATCTACAAAAGCCTTTGAAGCATTGCCCAGTAAGTCCCCTCTGTCAGCAAGTGGAAAGGCAATCTCCTCCCCGGGAGCCATCTGGGACGTGGGCACACAAAGTAGGCATCTTCAGATGGAGAAGTGCTTCCCAGCAGCTCTGGAGACTCCTTTCCCCAGCCATGAGTTTTATACCAGATCCTTCCCAGATGGACTCACAGTATTGGCATTTTAATAACTAAAACCCTGTTGTGACTGAAAATCCTGATTCGATGGCATAGAACTTTCCAAGAACTGTGCTAGAAAAGTTGAGCAGCTTAATCCTTCACAGTTTTGAAAAGTACTTCTTCTTAAATCAGACTGTTGCTTCAGGTTGTCCTAAGATTTTTATCAAAACATTTGCTCTAGAAGCCTCAAATGCACCTTCAGAAGAGTAGGGAAGGAGGCAAAGCCTCTGCACCTTAGCACTGGGGCTTGAGGCAAACAGATGCACGGTCAGAAAGATACAGAATTCCTTTTTGGAAACTGCAAATGTGGATTTTCCTTAGGCCCTTGTTCTCATTAAAAGCAAACAATTCTTTTAGAATAATTTAGGTGGAAATTAAACAGCAAAATTAAAAAGTACATAAACAGTTCCACAGAAGAATGCAACCAATTAAGCTGATTCATTTTGCCTTGGGGAGAAGCTATATAAAGATCTGCAAACCACAACAATCTCTTCAAGTTTAGCCTCAAATCCCCAAGACCTCATATTCTTTAGTCTTCAAGGAAAGCAGTTACTTCCCACTACCACCCTCAGCCATCCCATTAACAGTCTGAACTGTGTACATTAAGGGATATTCTCAGGTTGCCACATCCTTCTCATTAAAGAAACCCTTTCCAGATGCCCAAGATGATCCATGCCAGAGCCTGGATTTTATTATAAGAGAGCTGCATAAAATCAGCTGCCTTGCAGCATCTTTCCATTCTCAGGTATTTGCATTTCTCCAGCCTTCATTTCTGCCACCAATGGATCTGCCAGCACAAACATAGATTTATATATGGGTATTTGCATGAGCATGGTGTATATGTACACACACAGGTTTTCAGACAAAGCATTTCAATAAATGCAGTTACTCCAAAGCCTAACCCTCAAGCTGCACTGCTGATTTTTACCCTGATTTTTTGTCATCACAAAGGTCACACTTAAAAAGTACATGCACACCTGTGCCCAGGGCAGCAGGAGCTGTGACTCCTGAGTGTACAAGGACACACTCACCTCTGGACTGAGGGAACACATCTGCTGCTGCAGCAGCAAGAAGGTATTTCAAGCAAACAAGCTGAAAGTACCTGGACTTTTTGGGCTTTGAATAAGGAAGAGGCACTGGGAGAAGCAAACTGCTGCCCTTCCCTGTGCACCCATCCATCATCTGCACATACAGAAGCCAAGCTCCAACACTTATGTGCTTGACAAAATGATTCCACAAACCACAAAATGAGTGAAGTCTCTTACCTCCTCTGGCCTGCTCAGGGCATGTCCCTCAGGTCCAGTGATTCCCATCTCCAGAATTCGCTTTTGTTCCTGCAATGTAGGAGATAAATGCTGACACAGCTCCAGGATGAGACCCTTGCACCAGCACCCTCAGGGAGATAAACAGCCACAGTCTGACTGCTCCTTTTTATTCTGTGTAAATGCAGCTGTATAAGGTCACTACTGGGGGGGGAAACACTAAAAACACTGGCTCTGAACTGGTCCCATGCCACCCCAGTGCAGCCAGCACAGGTCTCTGCTGTGTGACAGAGCATATTTGTGCTCTGAGTCATTGGGCTGCACTGAAAATCTCTGCCCTCCAGAAACACGTACTTGACACAAAGACACTAACCCAGGGAACAGGCTTCAATCAATACACTAAACACTAAGTGTGGGTACTACCAGCCTGAATTCCTTCTTTACTGGCACAAATTCCTCTCTGCCTGCAATCCACAAAGCTCTGTTTCCTTTTGTAAACTTTCAGCACTGCTGACACTTTCAGTTTTCTGTGACACTTTTTTCCTACACAGTGAATCACTAAAATTATGCTTTCAGGAAAGCAAAGCAGTGCCCTCCAGTTGTGAGGGCACTGTGTCCACACCAAAAAGCTCATCTTGGGACAACGGGGATTTGTCAGAAAAAGCATCTGTGTTAGCCCAGCTTCAGAGCAGTGAGATAATTGTTTTTAAAAAAAGCTTCACCTAATTTAAGGCCAAGCAGTGGTATTGGAATTAATTTTCCTTTTTGCAGAAAATGGTGGTCAAACCCTTCTGATCTGAGGCTGGTCCAGGCCTGACACCAGAGCAGAAGTGGGACCAGAGGTGCTGATGTACCTCCAGCTCTGTCCTGTCCTGCTCTAATGAGACCTGTTCAACAATGTAATGACTCTATGACACAAATAAATGTCCCTAGAGGCCAGGATGAAGTTACTGAACATATTTGAATGTGACAAGAGTGGATGTGGCACTTAGTGCCATGGTCTAGTAACCACGGTAGGGTTGGACTCGATGATCTTTGAGGTCTCTTCCAACCAGGTTGATTCTATGATTCTATGAAAAGCTCACACATTACCAACATACTCCAGTAAAACCTAAGCAACTTAACGTTCACATATACTTTAGCCTTTGCTGCAATCAATCAAGGCTGAAGAGGCATTAACAGGGATGTATTAATCTGACTGTGTAAGAATGTTTTGGTTAGAAAAACACAAGGTTTCATAGGTATTCTTAAAGTCAGCTGTTCTGGATCACTAATGCGATGGCTCTAAACAGTGACAGTTAAAGATTTTGGATAATTAAAATGCAACAAAAAAATGAAGTTACTACCCTATAAAAATAGCAATTTGGCACAGAACAGCTACTCACAGTAGGATAGATTTGCATCTAGAGGAAAGTAATAAAATCAGATCATATGATAAAATTACCTACTGTAAGAGGTCTTAATAGTGCTAATAAACTAGAATATTTGTTTGATAAGGTCAAATTTGCATTTTCACCCAGGGCAGTCCTGAAAAACCTATCTTTCTTTCCACTATCCAAATAACCCCTCTAAATATGGGTTGTTTGGATAGTCAATAATGCATATAAATAGTGAATAATGAAAATAAAGCATAAAGAATGATTATTTTATGAGACATGGCAATGGTGAAGAAATATGTTGCTGTATAACAGAATTTACATTTATTTACTACTTCCTCTTTTCCTAATAATTTTTCTGTCCTGTATGTTCATATTCCATGGCTGAATATTAAGGCTCATCAGAGAAAATGTAACTGTAACAGATTTCTATCAGAAATGCAATTCCATGTGTGTGCCTTGATTTTAATGGGAAATGCATCAAAACATCACAGGTACCATTTGATTTGTTTTATTTTGCCATTCCTGCAGTTATATTGACCTAATTCATTTATTCATTTTCATTCTACTGGATATTTTATGTCGCATTAAAACTATAAATTAAGCATTTAGTAGTTTTACATCATGCTAAACTTCATGAGAAAACAGCTTTTTTCTCTCTCTCGAATCCAACTGAAGGTTTTCACCTGGTTTCAGTGGGGGAAGGACATGACCTCACTGTATGTGCCTGCTGACTCCTTACTAGTAACTTTTGAGCCCAGTGGATATTTTGGTCAAACTCAAAGTTAAAAGGCAGTTCTCAAAGGGTGTAAAATCTAACCAGGCAGGTAAAGGACAAAACTCCACAGAGAGAAAACCAACAAAACACATCCATATGGGCAAGAAACCTTACACACTGCCCAACCACTCAAATGTTCCCTTGAGGTTCTTCTCCCTTATCCATGAGACAAGGTGGCTTCCCTTGCCCGGATCTCAAAGACAGCTTTAGCTACTGTAATTTCCCTGCCAGCTCTGCAGCCTAGTCCTTAGCAGATAAGCCAGCAGATAAGCAGCTCAGCAGATAAATCAGATGGCTCACTCGGAGCCTCACAGACCTAAGAGGGGCTCAATACATGTACAAAGGATCAGAGGAGTGAGACATCTCTGCAACAGCCTCAGAAGATTCATCTGTCACAGATGTATAGTCGTAACAACACCCACCCAAACCCACCCCGTCCATCTTAGAGGGGAATTCTGGCCTCTCAAGGACCAGCAGGAGGTTTACTATCCACTTCTGTCCTTGGGTCACCTCTTTCAGTGTGCTGTGGCACAGATCAGAGCTGTGGCACACTCCAGTGTGAGGACAGGAGCTACCAGGGGACCTGACCTGCAGAGACTGTACTGGGGACCCAGAATGTTTCAGTGGAACACACTAAACTTGAGCCCAGTTCTGATACGTATCTTCAAAGTGCACAGATTACACTTAAACACACAATTCTGAAATGTTCTGAAGATCACAGTAGTTCTTACTCTCAAACTTCAGAGATTTATACGAATATTCTCAAAAATAAGTAAGTTTGTGAGATTTACTACCCACTTCAAACTCTCTGTGCTGGTTATACTGTTACCTGCAGTGAGAAATCGTAGCATAAAGCTTTTCAGCTCCACTTTTTGTCCCCAAAATCTCTGAACAAGGCTTTACATTGTTCTGCTTCACTTGTTTCTGCTGGATTCAGAAGAAATCTTGCTGTCTGCCCTCCTTATCTAGTCCTCAGCTGCTGCCAAGGCAAGGAGCTGCTTGGATCTCTGCCCTACCTCACAGATGCTCTGCCAGTGCATGAAAAAGGACCTCTATTCTCTCATCTCAGGCTTTATACCAGTGGTGTGTAGGGCATCAGGCTCAATCAAGGCTCTTTCAGGGTGTTCCTTTCTTCCTACCCACTCCCTGACTGGAGTATTTTACTTCTCCTCTCTTGAATCTCTCTTCTCACAAAGTGAAGCAAAAATGACAGTTCACTCACCTGAGCTATCAAGTCTCCATTTTCAGCATGGACCAGGATAACAGCCCCAAGACTTTTTAGAAAGGTAAAGGCTTCATAAAGCTGCAGGTAGTACAAAGAAGGAAACACTGCTGAATAAGGAAAACACATTACTTAACACTCAGACCTCTCTATTCACCTCAGTTTTGCCCCTTCTATGCTGGTAATCATCTCAGTGAATAGCAAATTATCTCTCTTCTACACAGAGCCTGAGCTTCACTGCTTGGTGTTGACTTACCCACCCCAGTACACACCAAGCTGCCCCCAGGACAAGCATCACCTTCTCAGAGCAGATGTTGAGCTTTCACCAACATCTTTAATTCTGCAATTAAAAGCTGCAATATTTTCTCTAGCGCATCCTTTTTTTTATTGCTTTCTAAGATTCAACACCCATCCATAAAGGAGGGAAATAGTTGATTCTGTTGCTTTTACTGTTAATTTCTGAGCACAGATCCACTGAAACCCAGTTCCTTTTCCAAAAAGTATTCAGCTAATGTGTTCCTTGGTTGAACCAGCCTTGAGAAATGCGGGAGCCCAGTTTTCAAACACAGATTAAATACTGAAGACATAGTTTGTTCAGTGTCCACTTTTGCACTAGGGCACTCCAGGCAGCGTTGAATGGGTTGCAATACACAGATTGCAACATGCACATTTAAACTAGGTAACAGCCATCAGTCCACCCACACATTAAGTATTTTGATGTATTTCTCTTTGCAGTTCCAACAGGGAGTTGAATTTAACAGCCACTGCCTCTCAGAGAGCATTTGTATATTAGTATGTCCAAAATTCCAATTAAAACCACATGTATTGGAGGTGTAACAACAGTTATTTAAGAGACCAAGAGCTGCAGCTCTGGGAGTAAGAAAGAAAGAAACATTTTCTCAACTGAATAAGCAAACATTATTATTACTAACAGATGCCATTGTCCATTCACAGTGGGCCTGATACTTATGAACGGGAAAGCTGAAGAGTCTGGAATGTGTAATGAGCTCTGGACAAACAAGCTCATTGTTATCTCCTACCCTAATGAGAAAAGGACACCTCCCCCAAAGAGCAACTCCATTTAGCTGCTTGTAGCAACCAAGAAACTCCTGGACCCTCAAAACTGCCACTGCCTTGAGTGGTTCATCTTTTTCTCCCTCTCTGACTTGGGGTTCTTGAAAGGCAATAGCAAAATAAAACGAGGGCAAAATCCTGAGCAGAGCTGAGTGGCTGCAGTACTGGGAAACTCCAGAAAATCTCTACAGGGAATGAGTGTCACACACTTGAAGAAACACGTGCAGGTATTCCACACAGCTCAGCACTGACCCTCCAGAGAGAAGTCCCCCAGCACACATTTCCCCCAGCACCACTCAGGTCAGTGGGAACCTTTCTCTGAGCTGCAACCTCAGCAGCTCGTCAAGTGTTGGGAGATGAGAGAAGACAGGACAGATGGCAGCAGTGCAAAGCATTCAGAGCAATACCTGGCTGTCGGACATTTGGTAGAGATCTTTGTATGCCATGTAGACTTGGAAAGAGTTCACACCTGTGCCAAGACAAAATTCAGAGGTGGATTCTTAAATTATACTTGAACAAAAAATGCAGGAGAAAGAAGTCATAGAGCATGTCTGGACTAGGCTTTTCACCAGTGATTACCAAAAACAAAGCATGGCTCCAGAGATGCATTACAGCTGCTAGGCCTTGAAGCCTAGATACCCTCTTCTCTGAGGGAATTTATTGGACACTGTGGTTTGCTGTGTTCAGCCCTGGAGCAGCTCAGCCACCACTGCAAACAGGATTGCTTGTAGCCAAAGCACAGACAAGTGATAAAGCAAGCACATCAAGTTTAATAAACCTTGCATAGGGTTCTGTGAATCACTGGTTTGCTTTTTAGGTTTCCTCAGCTAATCAGGAAAACATTTCAGCTTGACCTACACTGTGATTTTTAGTAGGCAATAGGTAAACTTCTAGTTAAGTTCCTCCAAGGTGCTGAATGTGTATACAGACTTGCTTTTCCTTGACCTTACAGCCCAAAACACCCAGTGTAGTGATGGTAGACACTGGGAAGGAGCAGAAGCAAAGCCTGAAATCAGTTACACAGGCAGCTCACCACACCTCTTCTTCCATCTTCCAAAGATGGAAGGATTTATGCTGGCATTCATACAAAACCATGAAAGACGACAGCTTCAAACTTCAGAAATCTGTAAGGAATGCTACTATAGAGCATTGGTTGCCAAGAACCAACTGTATTCAAATCCCTACAAGTTTTGCTATTTGTTTCAAAGATTTGGTTATTTACACAGCTTCATATTTTCACAGAAGGAGAATCACAAACATCTTCTGCCCATAATCCTGCACATATGAATTCATATTATCTTATAAATTTGCCTTACTCTTTAAACTACTGACAAGATCCCCAGTTTGGTACAGGGACCAATCTCTAGCTTAAAAGAAAAGTAAATTCTAGGGTGTCTAAGCTGTGTATGCTGCATTTCAAAATAGCTGTGATGAAAATTGTGATTCCTGGGGCAAGAAGAGAAATAAAGAGATCTGTTCATGTTATTCATATCTACACAAAATGAATAAGGGTCTCTGATGAAGATATAACTCCTTCATGAGTCTAAAATGAGCAAATACATTCCCAGGCAGAGGGTATGACTGCACACACACAAAGAGAATTTGTTCATTCACAATTACAGGACTAAAATACTCCAGGATAAAACCTTGAAATGATCCCTGGTATTATATCTTCCTGCTAAGTCCAGGCAGCTCAGAGAAATACAAAGCAGGAGCTAGCCCTTCCTTGCTGACTTCCACGTTGAGCAAATTCCACCTGCAATGTGGAGTCCTGTCCACCTATAAGCTTATCCTTTGTTCCTGTTTTCCTATTTCTCAGGTTTTCAGAAAATATGTGTGACCTTTACTAAGTGTAATCCCTCCATCTATTCCTCATTACAGTTTCGAAGTACTCAATATGCTCCTTAAAACCTAAGCTTGACTATACCTTCCCTGGGGCTAGTGCTTGCAGCCTCAAGCCCCCAGCCCCATCTCCCTCCAGCTGATCACAGCAGCACTCAGCACATTTGCCTTGGAGGAAAGCTCAGTTTTCTCTCCACAAACCCACCCCCTGACTCAGATGTCATCTGCACCCAGGAGCCACCTTTCTTCACATGTGACCATAGATGCACAAAGCAATGAGAGATGTGTCAGGGCTCATCCACACCATGTCAACTAGCATCAGTGGTGGCCTGGGACTGAATCCTCTCATACACATTCTGCTGTAAGCAAAGAGCTGGGTCACCTGTTGTTCTCCCTTATCCAACGGGACCTAGCCAAAGGTAATTCATTTAAACACAGTCCTGCAGGAGATAACTCAGCTTTCTCTGGGTACTGTGGTTGGAAGACATACACTTTTTCTTTTATTTCCTTGGAATCTTCTTAGGCTTTCTTCTGACCTTGATAAAATGACTGAGTTTTGCTCCCACTCTGTTTAATGTTCTTACTGAAAGCTAACACTTCCCACAGAAGCAGAGTTATCCCACGTAAACACACATCCATGCCCTCAGCTACCACATCAGACACACACACAGTGGAAGTGCATCCCACAGGTTGCCCTTACAGCTAACAGGAGAGATGGTGTGAACCATCCTGCCTTGCAAAGAGAGTACCTAACACCAGATACCAAGATAAATAACACAAAGTGACATAATACAGGTATCCAAAATTAGACTCTTTGCCTTGATCTGGTGTCTTGACCTACTCACTGGAATTATGCAGCTCTGGTCTGTGGCCTATTAACCTTAATGCTTAACATCTGTTATACCATTACATTCTTTTTAAAGTCTTACTTGCTCTCACACCAAGAGTACTCAACAGGATCTTCTCCAAATTTAAGGCAGGACTACAGGTTTTTTTTGAACGGTGATGAAGTCAAAGGAACCAGTGAGACTCCTGCCAGCAATTTCAGGCTGTTGTTCCTTTGCATATACTGGAGAAGCCCAATCCCAAAATAGCTGCTGAACTGCTACAAGCCTGAGTATTTATAATCAATATTTGGTTCTACAAAGCCTCCAGGCCCTTCCAAAGCCTGTGTCTCCTTAAATTAGCTTTGTATTGATTTAAAACTGATTAATTGTTCAATTATACCTCATGACAAGGCACCTCAACAGCCACTCTGTGGGCTCCTGTTACTCATGCTGATTGCATTAGGCACATGCAGCACTGAAAGGCAATGAGCTGAGCCCTGTCACTCAGCTAACTCATCCACAATCAGCCTAGAACAAATTCAATCCAGATTCCCAGCTGATGAAAACCAGGGTCACTGCACTGACATCAAGTCTATTTGCACCAGCTGGCTCAAATGTTTCCAATTATCAGGAAATACTACCCGTTAATTTGAAAGCCCTTGACGCTGAAATATTTCCTCTTGTGCTTCTGCTTTCATACTCACCCTTACCTTGTGTCTCCTAACACATGAGAGTAATTCACACTGACTGCCTCAGCCATACTGCAGCATCCATGGGAACAAAGGTGAACTCCTGATGCTCTTGTCACTAAAGAGGCCACCAAGGCTCCATCATACATCCCAGTTCAGGATCTGATGAACAGATTGCTGCTTCCCCCAAAGACTGAAAGGCAGGTCAGACTTATATTGAAAACTCACATTTCAATAGTTGGAGAAAACTATTAACCTAACTGTTTGCATCAGGCTTTTAATGTAAGCCCTTAGGCAAATTTGGGAGTGCTGAGCCATCTGTGAGCTCTGGAAAACAGTATTCAACCTTTGAAACAAGGCATAGTATACTTGTCTGAGAGTACAGTCAGCTAATATACAGCAGTGGATTCATGTTAATGCTGATTGCTGGGAAACAGCACAGATTTGGCACAACCCGTGTTGGCAGATGTCATCACCTTGTAAAAATCACCTATGTTACAGAGACCTATGTAAGACCAGCCACAGTTTCACTAAATTATATGCAGCCTTGCTAACTGCAGTGTTTTGTTGCCTAAAACCTGGTTATATAGCACGTGTACCACTAGCATCCTGTGATATGGGATAAATTCTCCTAGGTGACTGCACCTCCATGGCATCTCATGGCAACTGCTCACTCAAAAATATCTTTTTCCTTTGTTTTTCTTCTTTGATAGTACATTTCTCCATAAAGAGAATCTTTCACATCTAAGTCATCACTAGCACTACACATTACAAAGGATGCTGCATACACACACCACATAGGTTTCCCAACAGAAAGGTCATTCTGATTTACCCATGGAAACTGAACAGCACTTCAGAAAATATTCCCTAATTAATATCCATACATTTTCAAGGAAAAGAATCAAGTGAAGAATATCGGAAAATATATGTTTCCGGAAAGGAAATCCATGCCGTTAGGCATAATTTTAAGGATCAAGATCTAAGATAGGGTTTTCTGAAGGCTAGATTCGATTGTCCACACATGGGCATCTGATGCCACCAAGGTGCCCTCCATATATGAGACTGCCACACTGAGCTGGCATGGATGGAAATGCATTTATGAGAGGTTTCATCTGTGCTACTCTGAAATGGTACCTAGAGTCCAGGTAGGGTAATCTGTAGAATCTGACATGATAGTAGACCTGTAAATGGAACTCAATCAAGCCTGCAAGTGTCTTAGATTTCTAAAAAAGTGACCTGTTTTTTGTAAGTGTTGAAGCAAAGCATCTTCTAGTAACTTCAGGGAAAGCCACTGGAGGTGAAGCACTTGAGAAAATCAGGACATTTAGCTACCTAACTTTAGCATCTCTTTTCTATAATACCTTCAACCTATTTTTAAAACACAGGGGTGTTTTATTTAAAAAATTGAACCTCAGCAAGTAAATTATCCTAAGCCATTGCCGAGAAATGAGATCTAGCCTGTGGTGACAGCTTCACAGACACACATGCCCTTCATATCTGGCCTTAATTTGAGGCAGCTGAATCACAGATTCCAGTCTAGTTAAAATCTGAAATGCTACCTTGAAATGTTTTGTTTTCTCCATTCATTAAAGAGGGGATCTAAGGTGACTGGGCTGATTATCCTTAATGCTGATCTCTGAGCTTTACCTTCAAATAAATCTACCCATGCAATGCCTGAACCTATTTCCACAGGCAGAAGCAAGCATGAAGTGATGCATTTGTATCTGACAACCTATGCATCTTAATTTTCCATGCCTATATTGGGGTAAACCTCCTTCCTCCATAGGCCTTGCTGCTGACTAGCACTAATACACAACGTTTTAGGTCCATTTTACACAGCAGCAAGTGAAAACACAAGTTCAAGGTAGTGCAGAACCTTGGGCAGCATAACCAGTGCCTGTGCATTCATTAAAATACTTCAAAATTTCACCTCCATATGATATATCAATAAAGCCCAAAAAAAAGTAGTATTTTTCACTCGCTAACCTTTGTCTTGCACCAGTACTTCCAGCTCTTCTCGAATCCCATCATACCAGCTGGTGATGTCCACATGGAGAGAGTAATCACAACAGGATTTGGTATCAGCTGCCTCATGCCACTTCTCAAAGGAGGTCAGTAAACTCGATCCAGGTTCTGGAAGCACGTGGTCAACTGAAAAAGAGATTCAGTGCCTGTTACTTGGACAGCATGCACACTGCTCAGACCTCCTCAGTGCCTGCCAGTAAGCAGCCTTTCAGCATCTCAGCCAAAACAGAGGCTGGGACGCAGTTTGTGTGTATGCAGTAACTTTGGGGTGCCAACCACATCCTGCTGTCCCAGGTGCAGCAGACTTTGTGAACAGTCTATACTAAAGAAGAGTCTGGCAACCTGGCTTGGTGCAGCATCAGTAGATACACGAAGGGAGAGCCGAACACCTCACAGTTTAGGAAACATTTGTCTTTCCCTTTACTGTGTTCTAAGAGACCACAAGTTCTGGACTTAGATGTATTTCTTGTCTGATGTGTCCATTTCTATGTATTTAAGCCTGATTATTAACCAGCATCTCAGAGTCACTGAACTGGCCCACTCTGCCCTACCAATATCAGTGAAGATGTTGAATGTTTTCTAGGCAGCCAAAATTGAGAATACAGCCAAAGTTCTGAATGGAGATCACGTTGAGCACAAACACTCAGACACACTATACAGTAGACTGAATGCCCTGCAACTATCCATCATCACTGTCTCAAGATGTTCTGCACCTAATGATGCCAGAATGTCTACTGACATAAAATAAAGACATGACAAATGCATATTTACTTCTCTTTGCAGGGCTAGGTCAAAAGTTAGTATGGAAACAAAGTAAGATGGGCTTACCAGTGGCACTTGCAAGCCTAACACTGCACAGCAAGCCTCAGCTGAAGTACAGAGACTGAAAAGAACTACTAGCAAAAGGAATGAACAGCAGCTCATTTTGTGCTTATTGCCAGAGATCCTTTCAGCTGATACCTGCTGCTGAACTTAGGCAACAGATAACACCACTCAGCAAAAAAAGCCACACGCTGATTCAGTGGGAGTAAAACTCGACTGGGAAGCTCCTCTACACAGGGAAGCTGAGACAATTTCTGCCACCTGAACAACTGCCTCACAAAGTCTAACCAAGGCCAAGTCACTGCTAGTAGGAAAGAGATAAATCTTGTCCTGCCATTGGGTAGACAGAAAAAAGGTCCTTAACAACTAGAAACACTTCATCCATCCACCAAGAAAGATG